CAATTTTCAAACCTATACAAGGTTCAAGGATAATTCTAAAATTATTTACATAATCCATAAAAAAACTAACCAAACACATACAAACTACGAAATTAGCTTGATTCTCTCGTAAGGAGATACATAGGCACGGCGGTTAAAACTAAGGCGAGTTCATAACTAAAAAAATTAAAATCGTTTTCTCAAATACATGGAAATAATACAGTTAAGTAGATAATTTCCCAATCTACGCCTAGACCTAGAAATGGAGCCCCTTGAGAACAAGGGAGATAAAGGGTTCCTAAACACCTTCCTTTCATCTAATCAGCTCACGAATTTAAGAATCTCTGTACAAATTTAGGATTATTCGTTACTTCTCCATCCTTAGGACAAAAATTAAAGGTCGTTGATTCATTATTTTTTGTCGGTTACGATAATATAGTCAACATAAATTTTAACTAGAAGTGTGTGTTTTCCTTGACGTTTAATAAATAGTATTGTATATACCTTCTCTCTAGAGTATCCTTGGTCAAGTAAGAACTTGCAAAACCGCTCCATACCAAGCCCTAGAGGCTTGCTTCTAAGCACCATACAAAACATGTTTTTAACTTATAAAACATGATTAGGATACTCATGATTTTCAAAAACTGGCAGGTTGAGCAACATACGAATTTCTCATTAATGTGTCAGTTAAGGAAAACACTCTTATATCCATTTAAAATAACTTGGAATTCTTAGAGCATACAAAAGCTAGTAAAATGCGTATAGCCTCGAGTCGGTCAACTGGAGCATAAGTTTCTCATCATAAATGCCCTCCTCCTGGTTATATCCTTGAGCCACTAGCGGGCTTTGTTTCTAGTTATCACTCTGTGTTCGTCTAGTTATTTCTAAAAAACCCATCGGGTGCCTATGACTTAATAATCTCATAGATGACAGTCAAGGTCCCAAACTTCATTTCTTTCAAATTGATTTAAACTCATCTTGCATGGCCATAAGTCAATGCTCATCAAAGTAAGGCAATATTTTTCATTTTTAGGTTCAACATGAGACACTCAAATCCAAAGTGATAACATAATTACTTATCTTAGATCGAATAGTTACTTCTTTGGTGATGTCCCTAAGAATTTTGTCGATGGGATGATCCTTGGAAATTCTCCACTCCAAGGGGAGATAGTCCCTCTTTATTTTGACTTTCATCTTTCTTATTTTCAGGATCGTCATCTTCCTCCGCTCCTCAGATTTCACCGATTCAGGTTAATCAATTCATCTTCAGTGTCCTTGAGTATGTATTATGGTAGATGCACATGTACATAAAAAGAAATACCTTTCTCGATATTCTTTGGGCAAAACTCAACAAAAGTAACATGAACTGACTCTTCAACATAAGTAATCTCTTATTATATACTCTATAAGCTTTACTTGACTGTGAGTATCCAAGAAAGCTACCTTTCATCAACTTTTGCCGATCAATTTTCCAAGGCTATCCTTATAATTATAAAAAATAAAACATTGGCATTCCGAATACATGGAAAATATGATAAATTTGGTTATCTGCCTTTTCAAAGTTAATATGGTGTTTTGTCTAGTATAAAACATATAAGTATCCTATTTAATATATAACACGCCGTGCCAATACCATCGGCCAAAAAGTATTTAGGTAGAAAACTATCATTGAGCATTGTCTTCGCCAACTCCTCTAAAAACACGATTTTTGTGCTCCACAACACCATTTTGTTGTGAAGTCCTAGGAGATGAAAAGTTATGTTCAACACCATATTTATCACAATATTCCTCTAAAGATATGGTTCTCAAAATTCACCTCCATGATTGCTTCGGATTAAAAACAATTTTTGAATTTAATTTATTTTGGGATAACATTGCCAAACGTGGGTGAAAGCCAAAAATGTCTCATCTTTACAACAAAAAAAGATGGTCCAACAAATTCTAGAATGATCGTCTACAATAACAACACCGTGATAATTTCCACCCAAGCTTTTAGTTTGCGAGGGCCAAAGAGATCCATGTGAGAAGCTCAAGAGGTCTCGAAGTTGAAACGATGTTTTTGGGTTTAAATGAGACTCCTGTTTGCTTCCCCTTTTGACATGCATCACATAGGTGGTCTTTTTAAAATTTTATTTTAGATAGACCGATCACTAAATATTTTGAAGCCACTTTGTTTAGTAAATCAAAGTTGGACATGGACTAAGCATTTATTCCATAAACACGAGTCCTTCACACACGGTAATAAGACACTTAACATTGGTCACAAAAAAAATAATTCAAGTCAAGCATATAAATATTGTTTAACCTCACACCATTAAACATAAAATATTTATTTTCATTATGTTCAATCATGCATGAGTTTTTTTAAATGAAACTTTATACCATTATCGGGGATCATAGTAGATGAGGGATTACCTATACTACCTTTTCCAAGTATTGCACCTTTTTTATTGTCTCCATATGATAAAAAACCTTTTTTCTTCACCATAAAGTATAAGAATAAGGAAATGTCTCCCGTCATATGCCTTGAGCATCCACTATCTAGAATTCATCTTCCCTCCATAGAGCCAAGACATTTAACCTACAAGATCAAACAAAGGTGATAGGTTCCTAGTTTTTATTGGGTTCTTGAGAGTGAGTGGAATCATGGTTGCACTTGGGAAACCATTTAAAAACACATTTAGGAACCCAAAAAAAACTCCTAAACTTGTATTTTTTCAATAGTGTGACCTTTCTTGCAACAATAGGGACAAGACAAGTTATGAAGATTTTTATTTTTTCTAATTGGATCCTTTTTAGAAAATCTATGCTTTTTATGAGGTTTATTCAAATACTTTTTAAGATTTGAGGGATCAATAGCAAATATAAATTTTGGTTGTAATATCTTGTCCAATTTAACATTAAGAGTTTTAGACTCTTTTTGTCAAGTGTGACATGTTTCACAATCGAACCTTGAAGTTTCTTCATCCTCCTTCTTAACTTTTAGACTAACTATCATAGATTGCTTTAGAGCTTCCATTTTCTTTTTGATGCTAAAGTTATAGCTTCCAATTTTAAAAGATATTTTTATGTGAAGCTAAAATTTTAAAATCATATAGTGCTTCTCTATGTAGATTTTCAAAATCTAATTGTAATTCGAAATAAGACAACTTACCAACATGTTAATATTTGGAATAACTTACATTCTTTTTCTTCTTATGACGTTGATGGGCCGAGAGACGCACATTTGTGTCTACTTAATTATCACTTGAGCTTTTATTACTTGAGGAATCACTATCACTTTCCCAAACACATAAGCTCTTCTAGACTTTCTAGTCTTATTGCGTTGGCCCATTTCTTTATCTTTGTCAAGAGATAGACACTCCGGCCTATAATGACCCGATTTTCCATAATTTTAGCATATACCTCTTTATTTTCCTTTCTTGTTGTCATCTTCCCTTAAGGATGTAGATTTTCTTCTAAACTTGATGAGGTTTTTGTCAGAGTGTTTTACTATATTCTTTCTAATGTACCTATTGTACCTCTTGGAAAACAACCTCATCTCTTCATCATCTGAATTCTCGTCATCAATAATATCACTATGAATTTTCTTATTTGTTGAGGACCTCGAACTAGAAGCTTTTAGAACAATAAACTTCATTTCTACCTCTGTATCCATGCCTTTATCCTCATTTAACTTCTTCTCATGTTTCTTCTCATGTTTTTCCAAGAAAGTGAATTCTTGCTCATGTTTTTCAAGCTTACTAAACAATGTAGTGAGGTCTAGTGTTGTAAGATCATTAGCTTCCTTGATCACAATGACCTT